CAGGCCATATATATATATATATATATAATAATATATGAAATAATATATAGAGCCTGAGAGTAATCTCTATTTATTACTAATTGTTAGAAAAGCTTTTATCATAAAGTTACAAAAGATTGTGTATTATGTACCTTTAATGACTGATAATTAATCTCGCCGGATAATTTGAATGAGGTGATTTCAAAGCTTGCAAACGATTCTTTATTGAGTGAATCTGGTGGCAATAACTTTGCGATGGATAAGGAACACTGACAATACAAGAACGAAATATCTTCCATGAAATTCACTAAAATCTCTGTTAGAGGTTGTAGATGTTTCAACTTGTCTTCTAAAAACTGACTAAAACATACAGATAAACAATATAATTAAAGTACCGGCATTCTTAAGTTTTTTCTTACAATATTTAGTATTTTCTTTTAAAATTTATGCGTGTGCGAATTTGTAATACTTACGAGTATTGCGAAAGACATGTTTCAAAACCTACTTTCATTTTGTAATCACGTCGCAAAATTTTCAGACCTTCTTTACACAAACCAAGAAGGTCATTTTGTAACGATATCATTCTTGTCAAGTTGCTATTTGCATAAAAACGAATACATTTTAAATAACTAGAACAACAGATTGCGGATGATGTAACCAATATTGGCAATAGTTTGCTTTTGCACATTGAAATACACGTTGAAGAAATTAATACAACTCCAGTCATTATTAATTCTTGCGGTGCTAGTCTGCAAACAGAGAAGTAAAGTTTAATTTCCAAAATATATATTATTATATAATCTCTACACATGATAAATTACCTTTTATAATTATTATTGCACTGAGTTACAAAATTGTTAATCACGGAAAAGTGATCGCTCAATAAACCATCAGCATTCAAAATGGTGCTTAATTGCTTTTCAGAAATATTTTTTTCCTATAAATATGTAAGAATAATTTTTATGTAGTATTATAATTTACATAGATATTTACATATATTGCACAATAATAATTCTTGAGAAAAAAAGTACCTGTGTTATCCAGGAATAACAAGAAAATAGTTTTGCATAAATCTGTTTTATGCTTCTTCTAATATTCTGTTGACAAAAAAGCAGAGTTACATTTAATCAAACAGTCGCAACATTGTTACATTACAACAAATATATAAAACTCAATTACAATATTAAAATGATGCGTTTTCTTGAGATATGGTTGCTTCGGCAGTGATACGCTTTCAAAGTCTGTATACCCCAGTTTTAACAGATGTTCGTAAAGAGCACTACCCTGTAACACACGTATAAACATTTGAATCTGTAATAGGACATATTTATGTATTAAAAGAATTGCATCTTGCAACTTAGAAATAAGACAAAACTGTGTTCTACGTGTTTAAACAATTTATTCTCATCAAAACAAACATCGACACATTTAAAACACGTGTATGCAAAACACATGCAAAACAAAGTAGGAATGTAACCTGATTTTTTGTTTTTACACACGAGATGCGGCTCTTTTAAAAATCTGCATCTGAATTATATCACGTACCTTTATCACGACATCTTCGTCTTCCTCAACGCTATTTACGTTCATAATTATGTCGTTTGATTGCAAATCTTTCAAATATAATTTTTTGAAAACAATATATTTGAAGAGAAAAAAATATACACAATTTTTCAATAGATACCAAGGAGCTTATCAAAACGCATAGTGATCTTTCTCAGAGGTCTATTATTTCTAATTGTTGAAGAACAGCCTCTTCGCATTGTTATTAAACGTGGTACAAATACACTTGTGCTACCACGCACTAACACACCGTACAAGTCGCAAATACACGTGATACGTATACACACGCTGCTCTTGCTTCTCTACACCAGCCTCACTCCCTTCTCTCTCTTACAACAGTCATCCTTGCTTGGCGCACTCTTTCCAGTGCGACCAACAAAGAGCCACGAAAAACTCGCGTGTCTCTTCTGTGTTGTTTACTCGTCTGACATTTAATTCCGCGTAAGATGCACGTTGTTTCTCAAACGTCATTCACGAAGTTTGATCGCGCGAGAAACGATAGGCGTGAGTTCTGCGATTTCTTGTAATTGTCAGGTAAGAGATATCAATTTAAAGCGAATACGTGAAATACAGCGTATGTAAACATAGCCGTGTGACGTTTGACACAAGACGAGTGGTGTCATCGGGAAGAAAATAGCGTGTCGCGAGTGCGCGCGCGTTGCACAAATGTTGCAACAATAAAATATGTCTTCTCGATCTGTCAGTCGCGACGAGCGTCAATCATCTTTTTGCGATTACATGTAAATTATGTTTCGCGTGTATTTCAATATAATATATAAAAAATAACACAAGTCAGTCGCGATGACGTTACCGTCATTTTTTTGTGTCATTGCGTATAATTGCGCGTCGATAATTTGATTTTAATTTATTTAAACTTTCTCATATTTTGTTCGAATAAAAAAATGCCCGCAAATGCGTTTTTCTCTTCAAACGCGTTGTAAATTATATTTTATAGGTTATAAAATATGTATCATCATCCGTATAACGCATTTTGTTTCGTCGTTAAAATATCTGCGATAATTGCTTTCAACAAAATAGCCCATTGGTCTGTTGATATATCGAAGAACATATTTTCTTACGTTATTAATTGTTTAAATTTTGTTTCAGATATTTTATATGAAAAAATGGCAGATGTAAGGTTATTAATTCAGGAAGAAGGTCGAGCAGCCAGAAATTTGATAGCATTCAACGTGCCGGTTGGCACGAACAACGTAGAGAAGATAACAAAAAAACCACCTAGTGTACCGAGACAAACTCAGTCTGGTTCGACAAAACGATCCATGAAACCACCCACGAGAGTAAGATCTGCTTCCACAGGTCGTGATAAGAAATCTGGTAAGACACACCGGGGCTTTCTTTTTAGAATAATGACAAAAAAATTTAGATTCGGTACAGAAACATTTATAGTTTTTTAAAAATTTATTTGTGTTTTTAATTTATGTTTATTTTAGAATTACAAGCGCGATACTGGGCATTCCTGTTTGGAAATTTGCAAAGAGCGGTCGACGGTATCTATCAAACTTGCGAGGAGGACGAAAATATTTCCGAATGTAAAGAAGTTATTCTGGTGTTGGAGAATTACACTCGCGACTTTCACAATTTGATAGAATGGTTTAAAGTTAAGTGGGCTTACGAAAATTCGTCGCCGCCATTGAGACGAACTCCGCTTGCTTGGGAAGTTAGGAAAACCTCTCCTTGTCGTATATGGAACTCCACAATAATTCCGAAATGCACCAGTCCCTTGCAAAGAGCGAGTCCAACGGAATCCGTTTGCAGAAGTCCGGTTGAACAAACTATATGCGAAACTAAAGCAATTGTAACCGACAATAAGATCAATCACGTGAAGGAAGAATTTGTTCAGAAATTGTTGAAAGACAGCAAAAATAATGTGTGCAAAAATTGTTCCTCCAATATTAAAGAGAAACGCAAGAGCGAGGTTGACAGGATGGGAAATCAAACGGGAAACAAAGAAAAATCCGCGTCAACGAAGGCGCTTAACAAAGTGTCCGTGAAACAATCGATGCAATCGAAAACAAACAGCTTCGTGGATCGCAAGACGTTATCGAATGATAACGATACGAAGAACAAGGTAAATAGCGAATTCGTACAGAAGGAAAATGGTGCTGGTGTTAAAGATGGTAAGCTAGAGGGAAAAAACGTAGATAGCAAGTTATCTGTTGGCAAGAGTAACGTTGGATTAGAAAAGAACGAAATCAATGCCAAAGTTAAGAAAGATAGCGTTAAAAAGTGTGAGAACAATGTTACCGCTGAAAAGACGTCGAATGGCAAAGCGCACATCGTTCATCAAAATATTTCCGAGAAAGTCAATCGAGTTAATTGTCAAACCAACAAACATCCTTCTGAGATTAGAGACAGACCGAACAACAAGGATGTTCCCTCAACTTCCGCAAAAACATCGTCTAATATCGCGGATAAGAGTTCTGTTGTGATCAACACAAACAGACCCGCCTATTCGACTGTGTCGCAAGCAAGAAGTAAAGTACAATCGTCAACCTCAGCTAACGCTCCAAAGTTTGCTAGAAGTAAAACTTGTTTAAGCGATAGGAATTTACCTGCTTCGAGTAAAACGAGACCTGGAACGTCTGTTATAGTGCGAGGGCGGTATCAAAGTCTTGAAAATAAGGTATTGTCCTCACTGTGTGTGTTTATATTTTATAATATCAAAATATTATTACTGTACGTAGCGATTTTATATTTTTTTAGAATTCAAAAGAAGTTTAATCTGTGACGTATCTATTTCTTTTCAGTTATCCGAGCAAAATATTTCCAAGAAAGATCAAAATAGGGATATGAACGGATCGGTTGAAGTTTTGACCAAGCAAACGGTATCTCCGAAGGTGAAGGATGAGAATGACGGTTGGCAAACGGTCAGAAATCGTTGCAGAAGAGGTAGCACACACAATCTGAACATGTCCACGCGCTTTCACAAACCAAGCACCGCTCTGTCGTTGCCAGCATTGTCGATACAAAGCCCAACGGATAAGATAAAGAAGATTAGTTATACCCCCGACGGGAACAACAAACAAAAGAAGAAGTGCATAGTGGGAAAAACTGGCAAAAATATGAACAACGAAGTCGAGAAGGTCAAGGGAGAATTCATCACGTCTACGATCAAGAGCAATCTCGAGGACACGCTTAAGAAGAACACGTTAAACTTGTGCGACGCCAATTCGACGTCGGTGATCGCGGCCATCTTCAAGAACGACGCGGAGCTGCTCGAAAAACGCATTCAACAGTTCATGGCCGCTCAGGCGGAAAGAGAGAGAATCATTCTGGAAGAAGAGAGGAAGACCGAGGAAGCGGATTCTCAAAGATCCCAGCAGCTGTCGGACGAAGAGGCGTCTTTGAAACGACAAATTTTGGAATTGGAATCCACCGAAATCGACGTTGACACGGAAACGGACGAAACGGACGGCGAAATGATTCTCGAGATAGAAGACGAGCCCGCAGAACCGCTCGGTGGTGTCACCGACGATATTAGTTTGGAAGACAGGTAGTTAAAACGCATTCATTTATTATATAATCGTCTTGTTTATCATATCTTGTATCGAAACTTCAATTGAAACTTTAAGGTACGAAAATATGTTGGAGGGAATGTCCTGGGCGGAACGAACGGACACTCTCGCGCAATTGCGCGCATTGGTGGCCCGTCATCCCGGACGCGCCTTGGAATTGCATCAGAAGCTCTCGTCCCCGTCGAGAAAACGATCGCTTCCCGAAACGTTGAGGAGGTATCAGGCGAAACAGGCGTGCGCTCAACACAAACGTCAAAAGTTACTGATGGAAAAATCTCAACGATTGCGCGAATTGTTGAACAAGGTCGAGGACGTTAAGAGCGCGAAGAGTCAATTGATAGAAGACAAAAGAATTCGAATGGAAATGAGACTCAAGAGGGCGGAAGAAAATCGAACGCAACATCTGTTGGAAATAGTGAGAAAAGCGCACGACGAGGATTCCAAGTTGAAGGAAATAGCGTTTATCAACGAGCTCGAGGCGCAGAACAAGAGACACGATTTTATGGCGTTGTGTCAGGAACAAGAAGAAAGATTACAAGTATTGTATCTTTCTCTCTGTTACTTTTTACACAAGCGAAAATATGTTTATGCAAAAAAAAAGAAATAATTTGATACTTTTTACCGATTTTGGTTAAAATGTGAATTAACGTAGGGTATTCAAGAGGAACGTCAACGTCGACAAGAAGAGAAAGCTGCGAAGGAAGCTGCGGCCGAGGAACGTCGAAGAGTTCTCGAGGCGGAACGACAATTGCGGATACAAAAAATGAAACAGGCGCGACGAGAACGCGAGGAAAGAGTGGGAAAAATGCAACTCGAGAGAGAAAAGGAACGACAGGTGAGAGATAGATAAATCGCGTGTGTTCTTGTCTCGCATGACCGTTGTTGTTTTTAACTCTCTCGACAGAGAGAGGTTCTTATAATTGTTAAATTTTAATTAACGCCAGGAACTGGCGAGAGAAAAAGCGAGAGATCGCGAGGAACGTTTGTCAGCGCTTCACGCAGCTCAACTGGCCAATCAAGAGGAGTTGCAGAAGAAGATAGCGCAGAAGCAACAGGAGTCGGCCAGACGGCACGTGGAGAATATCGAGCACATTCGCCAACGCGCGGTTGAATCCTCCATTCTCAGATCGGAGGAAGTGCCGCCCACTCTGAAATCTTATCCCGCTCAAAAACAGTGTTCTCTGTGCGGCACGATCGTAAGTACTCGATTGTTCTCTCTCTTGTTCGCGTATATATTTAAATAAATATATATTGCATATTTTTTTTTTGTATAATTTTACACGCAGATATCTAACGAGGTGCAACTTCTGAGTCATTTGAAGGGTAAGACCCACATCGAGGCGGTGCGAAATGCGCACGACAATCGCGAGCCGTCGAGAGACGAGCTTCAGCGTTTTAATATCGCTCAGATACGAGACGTTCCGGTCAACGTGGTCAACAATAACAACACAAACAACAGCAAGGCCGCGAGGGAGAAGCAAAAAGCGCTGAAACGCCGATGCAGAAAGATAAAGCAACGCATGAGCCTGCGTGGTCAGGAGTGGGAGGATAAACAAAAAAATGAAACTAATCAAAGTTTATCTAACGAGTCGGCAAACAAATCCAAGTTCAAGCGCAACTTGAAAGAGTTTGATAGGTTATATAATAATCATTCCAAGTCTGCGTGGTCGACCATAGCGCTCGCCTCGTTGGAACGTTGCTCGGGTGAGATTGTCCGAGCTTTCTCCAAATCGGTAAGTTTTTTTTTTGTTTTTGTTTTTTAATGAGAACAACGTTTTTTTTTTTTTTTTTTCAAGTACATGTCGCATTTTATTCAAGAAATCATTTTTTCTATTTTTGTTTTATTCTTCCGTTTTAGTGTTCCTCCGATCAGGATGCTTTTAGGTGTTTGAATGGCATTGATATCTTAACGAACTTGTTGAATCTCGGTTTAAATACGCAAAATGTATCTCACAATTTATCAAATAAGTAAGTAATATAGCACATAGATTATCTTTTTCTCGATTTTAATAGTACGGAAACGTTTCTCTATGTTACATATGACGTTTCAGAGCGATTATATCGCTGTGTCGGGTTTACAAAGCGAGCATCAGCGACAACGCCGACAGCATAGAGACCGTTTTGTTAAGTAACAAAATTCTCGTTATTCTGGATCTGCTTTTGCAACATTTAGAGGTAAGTTTTTTTATTATCTTATTTTTTTTTTTACGTAAGTTTACTTTGACGTTTCTGACAGACGCGATAATTTTCAATTTTTTTTTTATACAAATTGCTCATACTAGAACTTGTCTAAGAAAGTTTTTTATCTTGTCTCAAAATCACGATATACGCTGGATAGCGGTTTCATCGAAATAATAAAGATTGTTGAAGATAAGTTTTATTTCTCGTCTGTCATGAAATATTACCTACAGATCTCTCACGATAATATATTTGTGCAAATAAATAATATACGTGAAATATAATTTTAAAATTGCCCCCGTACATACAAACGTCATCAAAAGTTTGCGGAAGAAAATTTAATGCAGTGTTTATTTGTTATCTTATCGTGTGAAAATTTTTGTCGAGTATATTATCGTCTGCTCGGACTCTCGGTGAAAGAAAAAAATGCGATAAAACTTGTGATCCGGGCACGTGCTGCCACCTAGCAAGGAGAGATGCAAGTGTTCTCGGTCGAATCAGTATCTCTGATACGCGTTACTACATTGCACGCAACATGATTTTGAAACGAGTTGCAATAAAAAAAAAAAAACAATTTCTTTTTACAATCCATATCTTCGATCTGTCAAACGAGAACTATGAACTTTTTTTACGAGTGAATCCTGTCGTTGCGATTTCTTTCAAAGTATATTTTTGAACATAGAGTAAAAGACCCAATTACTGTCACCTGAATAATAAACTCTGACGTTAGTGAATTGTTTTTACTACTTATTTATCAAAAACATGTGTTTTTCTTCTTATCTGCTATATTATTCGATGTCTCTGATATGAGAAACAAAATAATACCGCCTCTCAAAATCTCTATTTTTATTTATAAATTTAATAATTAAAAAAGAACGATGTGCGAGAGAGCTATTACTGTCACCCCCCTAAAATGAAAGAAATGAGACAAGAATATCGAGTGCTGGATTTTTTGTTACATTAATTGCACTTAAAAATTCTAGATTGTTAGATTGTTTTGCATAACTTTTTTAGGATTTATTTAATATTTTAAATCAAATAGCTTAGGGTGACGGTAATTGGACAGGTGACAGTAATTGGGTCTTTTACCCTAGAGTTCTGAAAATTTTTCTAAAAAATGTGTAAAAACAGACCCGTTTTCTAAAAGATCTTTTTTAACGTAATAACATCACTCGACATGACAAATTTCTAGAAACGATATAGCGGGGAAAATTTTTGTTCGTACCCCGATAAAAAGTTTTGGGACGTGGGTATATGCGATAACGTCCGTCGAGGTACGTATATACCCGAGCGCGTTGCCTCGGGAGGAGAGTTAATGCGGTAGATAGGCATGTAAAGATTACAGCTTGTTTCGTTTCTTTTTCTTTTCTTTTTTTTTATTTTTTTTTTTATCTCGGTTTGACGTTGGCAAGGAAACGACGAGCACGGTAAAGACGACACGGGCCTGTCATACTGTCCGTCCTGTCCGGCTTGTCAAAATAAGGATTAAGAAGAATCTTTCGGGGGATCCATATACGATTCCACGCGGGATCGCGGTTGTGTCTTTAAACGTCGAATCGCGCGAGCGGACGCGTATCTACGGATAAACAAAGAGAACAACGCGCGTCTCTGAGAGCATCGGAAGCATATTTTTTCGATTCGAAGCAAACAGAGAGAAGAGAGAAGAGAGAGAGAGGGATCTCGCGCGGAGATAATGCAAATTCTACTTGTTACAATAACAAATATCGTAATATTTAAACTTGTGCGCGCTAGAGTTTGTGAATAATAAATGTATCGATGCGATACATGTGTTTACAAACTGTTGCAACGGCGGTTGTTGCATCCGTTGTGTTGTCGGATATCGCTCCGCTGAAAGGGGATTTTCATTAAATACCATTCATAGAGTGTATATTTATGTCGCTAATTGAAGTTGATGCGCGCGGGCGGGAGTGTGTCCCACTTTTACAAAACCCCGTGTTTTACTGATACTTTCTTTGTCATCAATTTGGGAGAGGGGGGGGGGGGTAGGAACTCGAATGTGTTTTTCAAACGTATTGTGTGAAACCTTTTAATGTTTTTTTATTTTTTATTCTTTTTTTTTATTTTTCATCAGATTTCTCTGCGCGTGGTTCAATTAGTTAAAATATTTGATCACGACGCGCGCGCGCGCGCGCGCACACACACACACACACGCACGTACAAATACGCGGTTAACAATACGTACGTTGATTCGGTTTAATTTGATTTAACACGTGCCCGATTGTCGTTCTCCGCGCATCTCTATCCAAATATTGTGAAAGCCTTATGTAATTAGTTGCCGAACAACAGAAATTATATTTAACGCAAAACCGATCGTTCTTTGCATTTCCGCGATTTTCGTAATCATAAATTCTGGATAATTTTCATACGAGATAAGAGATGATACGTGTGAATGTGCGTGTGTATGTTTTGACGATGATTCGTGCGATAAGTAAAAAACTTATTTAAAAAAAAAAAAAATGAAAGTTAGTTATATCCTCTCGGAACGCGCGTTTCTTGTCTCTATTTTCACCGAATGTCCGGAATGTGATCTCGCAAATTTTTTTTATTCGCGCGTTTACGTCACACACACGTTCTCTCTCTCTCTCTTTTTCTTTCTTTCTCTCGAAAATCATCGACGTGTAAAGATTTACGCTTTCAGCGCGCCATATGCCTACAGAGAGTATCTTTTTTCGGCTTCCGTCGTCGGTCTCTCGCCTCCGACGAATCCGTCGGCGTGATTTCGCCATCGATTCTTCACGCTCCATAGATACAGCACTGGCGCCACCACCTTCTTCCTGTCCTCTCTCCCTCTTCTTCCCAAAGATTCCCCTCCGCAAATGCATTAGCGGCGAGAGAGCTTTTAGTGACGTCACCCACATACAGAGAGAGAGAAAGAAAGAACGAAAGAGAGAGAGAGAGATACGCACGCACTCACGCACGCACGAACATACGCCGCGTGGATGGGAGAGCCGGTGAAAGGAAAGTCCGTCCACAACGCGAGAGAATGTGCGTTGGGGGGTACTTCTGTGTTTCCACTCTTCCATCAAGCCCCGGTTTTTCGAGGACCCCGGCCTAATCTTTTGTCTCGTTCTTCTCCTCCTCCTATCGGCGGCGCTTTTTCAACGACCTCTTCGCACGTCCTAGAATCCCGAAATGCGCGCCGCGCGCACAATTTTTCCCGCAATCATCATCATCTCGGAGACGATGAGAATTTTTTGCGCGCCACGATGGAGAACGATCATGCACTTCGATACTTGCGAATTGTTTGTTTCGAAACAAAACAAAAAAAATATAAAAAAAAAAAAAAAAAAAAAGGTTTGCTCGCAACTTCAGCCCAGTGCGAAACAATTGCGATCCTCCACTCACGTGTTATACATATACCGTTCATAACGTTCAGGAAACATTTCGGTTTACGGACTCTGTCTTTTATTTCGTGTTTTGTTTATGTAAAAAAGCGCGGTAGAATATTAGAGAAAAAAATATTACAAAATACCGTGCGAACAAAACACACGCGATAGCATCCACCGAAAAAATTATATTCTTGTAAGTAGAAGATTTTATACTTAAAAAATCTTCTTCAAGATTTTAGAGATGATATTCTCTTCTGAAATTAAAAATATATTCTTTATTTAAGAATATATTCTTAATTTAAGAATATAGTCTTTTTCGATATTGAGATATATATATGTTTTTCTATAGAGGCTTTTTATATATTCTAATCAGTATATATTATTATCAATATTACTATTTAGAGGATTTTCCTCTTAAAATAAGAAACTCTTCTTGGCGCCTATTTTAGTATAAAATATACTTGAAGTAAGTAGGATATCCTCAAAACAAGAATACAATTTTTTCGGTGTCATCTTCGGTTCATTACGCATGTTCGTTACGCCCACATTACGACTGTACCACCTACCACTACTACTACTAAATTTCGTTTAATTGACGCGGATAGATTCGTCTGGTTTTATTTGAAATATCTTTGGCTTTATTGCTGTTCGGCGCAACTACCGTTTATCGTTAGATCGTTTAGTATTATCGGCCAGCTCTCGTCTCTCTCTCTCTCTCTCTCTCCCGTGTACGTGTGCCGATGCGCGGAATTCTCGAAAAAAAAAAAAACATTAGAAACAAGGGAGTTTCGCCTCGTTGCCACAAATGGACCAGAAGAAGACGCGCCGTCGTAAAGTCCACGCGGGGGGGAGATAAAAAACCATCTCGCGCGAGATTTAAAAATTCAGCGCATATAAGAGAACGCGCGGATTAGAAGAGCGCGGGAATTCTTTCGTTATCTTTTTTACAACTGTTTGTATTGCCGTGTTTTCTGATGTGAACACGCGCGTTTCGACATGACCGAAAATGCAATCGGACGGGACCGAATTCGACGAAAGCATCCGTATATATTCAATTAGAAATCTGTTGAATAAAACATACATTTTTGTGTTACACCGTACGCGTGCGTGCGTGCGTGCGTAAGTACGTAACACATATCGCACTTACTCGTATATATGTTTTTAGCTTAATGGATTGCAATCGAATAAAGATGTGGTTTTTACTTTTGTAAATGTTTAAAAAACCAAAATGGATTATTTTCGCGACTCTCCTCCGCGTTATCCGTGCGCTTGCATGGTCAGGAAAAGTTAGTCCGGACCATTAAGCAAAGAGACAAATCACCCTCCTCCCCGCGGGGGGGGAGGGTGGGGTTCGCCAATTCCCCGCGAATGTTTCCCAATCTTGTTCGTCAGCCAAACAAATTTGCAAATCCATATAAATTGCCATAGAAATCTCGCTCGATTTCTCTCGATCGCCGCTGCTCTTCCTCTATCGCGCTCGAGAAATTCATATATATTTATTTGCGCGTAGATTGCCGCGCGATCGAGTGCGATGTGTGTATGTGCGTGCGAGTTCGATGAACACACACACACACACGGAAGAACGATTTCAACGGCCGTGAACCGTGTGTGTTTGCGTTGAGTCGCAAAATAAGGGAAACACAATTTGGTTTTTTTTTTTTTTTTTTAATAATCGAGTAAATTTCATCGTCGCGATGTTGAGATATGAAGAGGTGTGTAAACGATGCGCCATTGTGTCGCTCGCATCGTTACTTCTACCGCGAATCAAATTTAAAATTTTATAAAAACAAAACGTCGTTGTGTTGAATCGAGTCATAATTTGGTTTCTAATTTGGATTTTAATTGCAAATTTGGTTTGCGCACAAATTTGAGTTTGTGCGCAAAAAAATTTCTATATAAGCGACGTATATAATAAATTGCCCCACAGAGACACGGGATCCAAATTCCGTATTATTGACGTATTCTCATAGAATTTTCTAAGACTTTTTCATCGACTTTCGCTCCTTCCATACGCTCGGTTCGGAAAGAAGAACTGGATTAACATAAAAGCATCTTCCCGTTTATGGTCGATCACATACTCGATATACATATATATATATATATATATACATACATATACACACATATGCGCCTTCCTCGAAATTTCACGTCTTGTTGGCGTCTTGTTTTCGTTCGGCCGTATCAGAAAGTCGTGACGGTCTTTTTTTTTTTTTTTCCCCGGGGATACGGATGGGATTGAATTTGTCAAGGCAGTGGTCAAACCACTTTTTAATGTTTCGTCGGAGATTATTTCGCTACCTCTCTTATATGAGCAGCCGGTTCGTAACACTATCTTTTCCATCCGGGGCTCTCCGTCTCCGACGCAACAATAGTTCTTAAAAGATTACGCGCGCTAATGTTTTCTCCCGAATGCCACGGCGGTGTGCGTATCGTGGATCTTGAAAAATTAACAGCAAACACACACACACACACGCACGCACGCCCCATCGGCGCACGTAGTATTTTAAATACTTAAAAACACTCGCTCGCACACACGTGTTCGAGATGCGCGTTGTTCGTCTCTCCGCGTGTTTAACAAAAAACAAAACTGTATCTAACCAAAAAAAAAAAAAAAA